AGTGGGGTACGATGTACCTCTGGCTGGGCACCTTGGTACACACCAGACATCTCACTGGATAACCCGGAAATTCTTCTGGCCAATAGTACTGCTAAACTTGTGACATTTGTCAGAGGGTTGGAAAGAGTGGGGATCACCCCAAAGCAACGTTACTGTCCATGTTGATAATAGAAGAACCCTTTGGTAGGGTGGCAGTTGACCTAGTAGGCCCCCCTAGCTCAGCCTAGTCCCCCTGGTAATAAATACATTCTTGCCGTAGTGGACTATGCTACTAGATACCCAAAAGCGGTAGCTCTAACCAATATACAGGTGGAGAACATAGCTGATGCCCTGGCATAGATATTCTCTTGAGTCGGATTTCCCTGGGAGATCCTTTCGGACCAGGGCACCACTGAGGTTACCCACCAACTTTAGAAGGTCTGTGGGTTCAAGCCCCCAATGAGTTAACCTTATTATCCCCAGACGAACGATCTCTGTGAGAGATAACGTTCCAAGGATAACAGAAAATCCAGGAAATATCATACCTGCTCATCTGATGCAATTAAAAGGGACCATTTATGCAGACACTGCTTTTAATCATAGTAGATGAAGGAACATCTATATCTGCAGAAACCATTAACCAAAATCTGGCTGAAGTAATTTCTAAGGCTGTGACTGCTGGGATTAAAGAGGCGACTTGCAAGAGTAATTCCTCTAAAAAACCTAAAAAAGCAAGAGAAGATTCCTCAAGCTCTATGTCAGAGGTTCATATCCCAGATGGCTCTCACTTATCAAAGGATGGAGAGAGCATGAATGACCCTTCTAATCTACACGGTTAAGTGGTTGATTTACTAATTTATCTAATTAGCAACACTCTAAGGATCCCAGAGGATTGTGGAGAAGCTAAGGACTCAGATATATACTTTGAGGACCCACATAAGAGAATTACTTTTCCTATATACTCCACCATTAAAGATCTGATAGAATGGAGGAAACACGATTTTTTTAACCAAAGTTGAAGTCAATATATTATTCCCATTCCAATCATCAGACATATAATTCTGAAAAATTGGGGTATTGTACAATGGTGCATGTGACTGCAGATCAAGTCTCAAGTTCAAAACCTGAAAAGAAAATCATGAATTCTAAGTTACCTTCAAATTGAATTATTGATTCTACTATTTTAAAAACACCACACTGAAAGTGGATGCGGCCATAATCAAAGTGGCAAAAAGAACTGTTTTACCAATAGACAGTGCAGCATCTTTGAGGAAACCAATGGAAAAGCGATTGGATGCTAACCTGGTCAATACTTACTCTTTAGGGGCAACAATGCATTCTGCAGTGGCCTTAACACTGTTGTCAAGGGCTCTAAGTGTCTCTAAGACATCTCTAAAGACACTAACAGAGATACATTACTGGAAATTTAAATTTAAAATTTGCTTCAGATTTCATCAGAAGCATCGGTAGTCCTTAGCAAGCTTATATCCAAAGCTATGGGCCAATCAATTTCAGCAAGACAGCCCTTTGGTTGAGAACATGGGGTGCAGATAATTCATCAAAACTAACCTATGCCTACTTCCTTTTCAGGGAAACCTATTTGGAAAACCCTTAGACAATGCTACCTAAGTCAGAAAAATAAAGCAATATCCTATCGGTTGGAGCAGAGGATACAAAGAACAAAATTCCCTTTGAGGCTACAGATCTTATAGCCTGGGAGAAAATATTCTAGAGTGCCATGATCCAAGGAGATATCTGACTGTCTTTTTGGGGTCAAGAATTAATTTGTTCCTAGTTTGTTGCAAAATTGGAAGCGCTCCAGACAGGGTTTTTTGCCTTTCTTTGGAACAACAGAAATAACATATATGAGAGAGACTGAACTTGATTGACGCAAGTCTCTTTTCAGCTAAAGGCCAGTGAGATTGCTTAGCAAGCTAATACATCATCAGTAGAATCTATTCCATCCCCTTGGTGGTTACAGGTTCAGATCCTGGCAGTGTTGACTCAGCTCTTCATCCTTTTGAGATAGATTAAACGAATACCAATAAATTGAGTATTAGTAATAACCCCTGGACGTACTTGGAAACCAGAGTAATCTGAATGTACCTTTCCTGGTTACATACTTTAGTATTATTATTATGTAACTATGTAACATACGGGAAGGAACAACAGTTAATCTTCCAAAACCCAAAAGAGGAAGAGGAAAATCGTTCGTTCAGCAGGTGGCAGGAAATAGATATTAAAGGTAGGAGCCCGCCTTGCAAAATTCAATCGAATCTGGTTCTTGCGCATCACAGATCTTTAAGTGCTGTCAGTTATAGAAAAGGGAAGACCTATGCAAGAATGCCTAGAAAAGCTCCCTCAACAGGAAGTTATTTGTTATATTCCTTCCAAAAAAAGAATGCAAGGAATTTATTTTTCTGTTTTTCTTGCCCCAAAGCCATCAGAGAAATATAGAATGATTTTGGATCTGAAAAATGTGAACTCGCTATAAAAGAAAGAGAACTTTTAAGATGGAGAGTCTTCAGATTATGATTTCTCAAATATATATCCTACAGAATGGCTAACCTCCATAGATCTTCAAAACGCATGCTATCACATCCCTGTAGCACTTGCGCACAGACTGTATCTACGGTTCAAGATTTTTGACAGTCATTTCCAATTCCTGGGTATGCCGTTTGGTCTAAGCTTCGCACCCAGTACATTCACAATGAAGAATAGAAACAAGAGATCTGGATCACAGAATAAAGTGTCTCTTCAGTGGTGGATGAACGTAGAAAATATCAGGAGAGGCTTCCCGCTAGGGGACCTGGAGTCAGAATTAGTGACCACAGATGCCAGGGGAAAAGGTTGGGGAGCTCAACACATCTTCCAGGACAACTGAACAATGTCGCCGACACTATGTACATCCAGGAGACACGTTCAAGCAGACATGCGATCTTTGTGGAACACCGGATATAGATCTAATGGTGAACTACAGAAACAAGCAAGTTCCCCTTTTTCTCTATTCCATAGGTTATCTTGACCATTGCTCTTGGGTCAAATCTTAACACTGAGATGGAATTTTTTGCTGGGATATGTATTCCCTCTCCTTCCATTAATCCAGATAACGTTCAAAAAGATACAGATACCAAAATACCAAGTAGTGATCAGAGTGCAAAAAGACTTCAAACACAGCTTGATGTAAGTGCAGCGCTAAATAGCGATATAGAATTTATTGTAATACACTTACCCCTTAAAAATAAACAAAGAAATATATATATAGAGTAGTATTGTCTGATATGTTGGAAGGTATATCAAATGAATAAGAAGAGTAAAACTCACATTTAGGAGAGCCTTTTAGAAGGGTATAGGCTCTAAACACAACAGCGTCTTTGCCTTTAAAGATAGGCAGTAATACCTTGAAATAGGGGGCGTTCTTCCTTTCTTTCCGTCGGTGAATTATATCTCCAAATAAAACATAGAAAGAGATTCCTTGGTGCAGATAGTATGAGCAGCTAGTAGAAATTAAATATATAAGCTCAATTGCTCACCTTGTTTAGAGCCTTTTAAACTGGCTCTTAGTATTGTAGGCATAGATGTCAGTAACCAGATGACACTTCCCTCTTATGGATACCACAAATATGGAGAGGAGATGGAGTATGGATGACTAACAATATAATTTATTAATACACAAAATAAACATAAATAAAATATACATATGAATTATAAAAAGAATCCTCTCCCCCCTCTGTTCAGAAACGCGTTTCGCCATCCTTTTCGGCTTCCTCAGTCTGTATTTGTGATTCCCTTAGTGTGCAGTTTTATATCTTCCTCAAGATCTGTGTCTAGAAAACATAGGTGAGCCTCACATACGTTGTCTTTTAAAAAAGGGGGGTTAAAGAGTGCCACTATGGGCCAAAAATGAAATATTGTTAAAATGGCCTTTTTTACAGCCCGAGTAATCCAAAAGAGGAATCACCTAGGAAGCATAAGGAGAAAACAAATGGGTGTATTAACTGTAATCAGATTGCACCCAATGGGAAAAACTTATGTCAAGATTGCCTGACAGAAGCCGCTGAAGGTAGAAAGTCTCCACAAACAGAACTGAAAAAATGGATAACAGAAGCAATTGCAGAAGGGTTTAAATCCACACACAAGATGTCCTCATCTAAACGCTTGAGAAGGGAAGAAATCTCATCTGAATCAAGTGATAGTATGGAGATGGAGGATATGTCGGACGAAGAAGAAGGTGAAGTCAACTATGCCTCCAGAAATCTGGATTCAAAATCTGTGGATAAATTGATCAACATAATAGACCCTTAGATTCCCAGAAGAAGAATCTGCAATAAAGGAATCTGATAGATATTTTGAGGATCTGAGAGCTAATAGACCTACCTTTCCGGTACACTCTACTATAAAAGAGATATTTTCTCAAGAATGGCAGAAACCTGAGAGAAAATCAACACTGAAGAACAAAGCATTCAGATTATACCCATATGCCAAAGAAGATTGCAAAACCTGGAATACCGTACCCAGGGGCGGACTGAGAGCCTTTGGGGCCCCCGGGCAAAATTAGATCCCAGGCCCTTTGAAGGCCAAATTTACGTGCATTAAATAAATGTTAAATATAACTCATAATACGGCATTCCTTTGGATGTGTATATTGTCAAGACCTGTGTATCAATGCATGTTTGTATTTGAGTCTGTGTGAATGCACTTGTGCATGTCTGGATGACTACATGTGCTTTTTTGTATATAGTGTCTCTGTGAAAGCATATGTGACAGGTGACAGAGTGTATGAGGGAGAAGGTGACAGGTGTAAGAGTGTGGGAGGTTGTGACAGGTGGCAGAGTGAGGGGGTACCTGGTGGCAGAGTGAGAGAAGGAGGGGATGAGTGGTGGCAGAGTGATGGGGAGACACAGTGAGTGGGGGTGACTGGTGACAGAGTGAGGGAGTGGGTGACTAGTGACAGAGGGAGGGAGAGGGGGTGACTAGTGACAGAGTTAGGGAATGGGTGACTAGTGGCAGAGTGGGGGAGGGAGGGAAGAGATGACTAGTGGCAAAGTGAGGGAGGGAAGAGGTGACTAGTGACAGAGGGAGTGGATGACTGGTGACAGAGGGAGGGGATGACTGGTGACAGAGGGAAGGAGTGACTAGTGACAGAGGGAGGGAGGGGGTGACTGTCACTAGTTACCCCATCCCTCTCTCTGTCATTAGTCACTCCCTCACTCTGTCACTGTGTCACCCGCTCCCTCACTCTGTCACTAGTCACCCCCTCACTCACTGTCACTAATCACCCCCTCTGTCCCTAGTCACCCCATCCCTCTCTCTGTCACTAGTCACCCCATCCCTCTGTCACTAGTCACCCCATCCCTCTCTCTGTCACTAGTCACTCCCTCCCTAGCTCTGTCGCTGTGTCACCCGCTCCCTCACTCTGTCACTAGTCACCCCCTCACTCACTGTCACTAATCACCCCCTCTGTCCCTAGTCACCCCATCCCTCTCTCTGTCACTAGTCCCCCTATCCCTCTCTCTGTCACTAATCACCACCTCCCTCACTCTGTCACTAACCACCACCTCCCTCACTCTGTCACTAGTCACCCCTTCCCTCCCTCTCTCTGTCACTAGTCACCCCATCTCTCTCTCTGTCACTAGTCACCCCATCCCTCCCTCTGTCACTAGTCACACCCTCCCTCACTCTGTCACTAGAGTGAGGGGGTGACTAGTGACAGAGTGAGGGAAGGAAGGGTTTACTAGTGACAGAGTGAGGGGATGACTGGTGACAGAGTGAGGGAGGGAGTGGGTGACCAGTGACAGAGGGAGGGAGGGAGTGACTAGTGACAGAGTGAGGGGTGACTAGTGACAGAGTGAGGGAGGGTGTGACTGTCACTAGTCACCACCTCCCTCACTCTGTCCCTAGTCATCCCTCACTCTGTCACTAGTCACCCCCTTCCCTCCCTAACTCTGTCGCTAGTCACCCCCTCCCTCACTCTGTCACTAGTCACCCCTCCCTCACTCTGTCACTAGTCACTCCCTCCCTCCCTCTGTCACTAGTCACACTGTCCCTCACTGTCACTAGTCACACCGTCCCTCACTGTCACTAGAGTGAGGGGGTGACAGGTGACAGAGTGAGGGAAGGGGTGACTAGTGGCAGAGTGAGGGGATGACTGGTGACAGAGTGAGGGAGGGGTGACTAGTGACAGAGTGAGGGAGGGTGTGACTGTCACTAGTCACCACATCCCTCACTCTGTCCCTAGTCATCCCTCACTCTGTCACTAGTCACCCCCTTCCCTCCCTAACTCTGTCGCTAGTCACCCCCTCCCTCACTCTGTCACTAGTCACCCCTCCCTCACTCTGTCACTAGTCACTCCCTCCCTCCCTCTGTCACTGGTCACCTACTCCCTCCCTCACTCTGTCACCAGTCATCCCCTCACTCTGTCACTAGTAAACCCTTCCTTCCCTCACTCTGTCACTACTACCCCCTCCTTCTGTCACTAGTCACCCCCTCCGTCCCTTACTCTGTCACTAGTCACCCCCTCCCTCACTCAGTCACCAGTCATCCCCTCCCTCTGTCACCTGTCACGCCCTCACTCTGTCACTAGTCCCCCCCTCACTCTAGTGACAGAGTGAGGGAGGGTGGGACTAGTGACAGTAAGGAAGTGGATGACTAGTGACAGAGTGAGGGAGGGAGTGGGTGACTAGTGACAAAGTGAGGAAGGGGGTGACACAATGACAGAGTGAGGGAGGGGGTGACTAGTGACAGAGTGAAGGAGGTGGTGACTGTCACTAGTCACCTCATCCCTCCCTCTGTCACTAATCACAACCTCCCTCCCTCTGTCACTAGTCACCCCCTCTCTCTCTCTGTCACTAGTCACCCCCTCCCGCTCTCTGTCACTAGTCACCCCCTCCCTCTCTCTGTCACTAGTCACACCGTCCCTCACTGTCACTAGTCACACCGTCCCTCACTGTCACTAGAGTGAGGGGGTGACAGGTGACAGAGTGAGGGAAGGGGTGACTAGTGGCAGAGTGAGGGGATGACTGGTGACAGAGTGAGGGAGGTGGTGACTAGTGACAGAGTGAGGGAGGTGTTGACTGTCACTAGTCACCACCTCCCTCACTCTGTCACCTGTCACCCCCTCACTCTAGTGACAGTGAGGGACGGTGTGACTAGTGACAGAGAGAGGGAGGGGGTGACTAGGGACAAAGTGAGGGAGGTGGTGATTAGTGACAGAGTGAGGGAGGTGTTGACTGTCACTAGTCACCACCTCCCTCACTTTGTCCCTAGTCACTCCTCCCGCTGTCCCTAGTCACCCCCTCCCTCTCCGTGTCACTAGTCACACCCTCCCTCACTCTGTCACTAGAGTGAGGGGGTGACTAGTAACAGAGTGAGGGGGTGACAGGTGACAGAGTGAGGCAAAGGGTGACTAGTGGCAGAGTGAGAGAAGGAAGGGGTGACTAGTGACAGAGTAAGGAAGGGGGTCACACAGTGACAGAGTGAAGGAGGTGGTGACTGTCACTAGTCACCCCATCCCTCCCTCTGTCACTAGTCACCCCTTTCCTCCCTCACTCTGTCACTAGTCACCCCCTCCCTTTCTCTGTCACTAGTCACACCCTCCCTCTCTCTGTCACTAGAGTGAGGGGGTGACTAGTGACAGAGTGAGGGGGTGACAGGTGACAGTGAGGGAAGGGGAGACTAGTGACAGAGTGAGGGAAGGAAGGGGTGACTAGTGACAGAGTGAGGGGATGACTGGTGACAGAGTGAGGGAGGGGATGACTGGTGACAGAGTGAGGGAGGGGGTGACTAGTGACAGTGAGGGAGGTGGTGACTGTCACTAGTCACCACCTCCCTCACTCTGTCCCAAGTCACCCCTCCCTCTTTCACTAGTCACCCCCTTCCTCACTCTGTCACTAGAGTGAGGGGGTGACTAGTGACAGAGTGAGGGGGTGACAGAGTGAGGCAAAGGGTGACTAGTGGCAGAGTGAGAGAAGGAAGGGGTAACTAGTGACAGAGTAAGGAATGGGGTCACACAGTGACAGAGTGAAGGAGGTGGTGACTGCCACTAGTCACCCCATCCCTCCCTCTGTCACTAATCACCCCCTCCCTCACTCTGTCACTAGTCACCCCTTTCCTCCTGACAGAGGGAGGGAGATGGTGACTAGTGACAGAGTGAGGCAGGTGGTGACTGTCACTAGTCACCCCATCCCTCCCTCTGTCACTAGTCACTCCCTCCCTAACTCTGTCACTAGTCATCCCCTCACTCTGTCACTAGTCACCCCCTCCCTCTGTCACTGTGTCACCCCATCCCTCCCTCTGTCACTAGTCATCCCCTCCCATACTCTGTCACTAGTCACCCCCTCCCTCACTCTGTCACTAGTCACCCCCTCCCTCTGTCACTGGTCATCCCCCCCTTACTCTGTCACTAGTCACCCACTCACTCTAGTAACAGAGTGAGGGAGAGGGTGACTAGTGACAGAGTGAGGGAGGTGGTGACTGTCACTAGTCACCCCATCCCTCCCTCTGTCACTAGTCACTCCCTCCCTCTGTCACTAGTCATCCCCTCACTCTGTCACTGTGACAGTGGGGGGGGTGACTAGTGACAGTGAGGGGGGTGATTAGTGACAGTGAGGGGGGGTGACTAGTGACAGTGAGGGGGGGTGACTAGTGACAGTGAGGTGGGGTGACTAGTGACAGTGAGGGGGGTGACTAGTGACAGTGGGGGTGGTGACTAGTGACAAGTGATTAGTGGGAGGGGGTGATTAATGAAGTGGGGGGTGGATTAGTGTAGTGGGGGTGATAGTGACAGTGAGGGGGTGATTAGTGACAGTGGGAGATTAGTGACAGTGGGGGAGATTAGTGACAGTGATTAGTGACAGTGGGGGGGTGATTAGTGACAGTGGGGGGGAGGGGGTGATTGGTGCCTACCTTTCTCTCTGCTTCCTCTGCTCTCTCCCGGCTGCTGCTCCTTCCCACGCTGGGCTCTGTGTGAGAGGAGTAAACAGGAAGTGATGTCACTTCCTGGCCCCGCCTCTCCCATCACACAGAGCACCGCGGGACAGGGAGAAGGAGACCTGGCAGAGAGCTGGTAAAGCTGCCAGGTCTCATGGGGGGGACTTGCAGAGTGGTAGGTTGTGGGGCCCCGCGCTGCATCAGGGGCTCCACAACCTATCAATTAAAAAGTTTTATTATTTTTTGCTGTTCCAGTTGGAGAGATCCCTGATCTCTCCAGCTGGAGCATGGCTATGCGGCCGGGCCCCTGACTGCCTCGGGCCCTTGGTCCATGACCGATATGCCCGAGTGGTCAGTCCGCCCCTGACCGTACCCAAAGTTGATGCCGCAGTGATACACATGGCAAAGAAGACAGCCCTTCCTATTGACTCCATGGCTTACTTGAGAGAACCTATGGAGAAAAGGCTAGATGCTAGCCTGATAAAGTCATATCTGGCGTTAGGATCTGCATTACATCCAGCAGTAGCATTAACAACGCTATCAAGAGCATTCAAAGTATGGCTGGAGAACTTAGAAGAAGATATCGCCAAAGGTGTTAGGAGAGATCATCTTCTGGAAGGAATTAGAGATTTAAAATTGACAACTGAGTTTTGTTCTGAAGCATCCATAGATGTTACGAGAATGGTGGCAAAAAGCATGGGCCTGTCTATAGCAGCAAGAAGAGCACTATGGCTGCACTCCTGGGGAGCAGACTACGCCTCTAAAGCATCCTTGTGTGCTCTTCCATTTCAAGGTGATCTCCTATTTGGAAAGGTCTTGGATGAAGCAATCCATAAAGCAGCAGATGGGAGAAAAGCCTTTCTTCCGCAGGTCAGAAAATATGGTTCGACTGCATGGAAAGATAGAAGATACAAAGACTGTGCCTTTCGTGAAAGCAGGGCATATAAACCTGGGAAAGAGTATTTCAGATCCAATTGGAAAAACACTCAGCAAAAATCTTCCAGAGTAAGAGGAAATAAGCCAGGGAAAAACTTCTGAACGTGTGCCGGCCCAGCCAGGAATTACAGGGGGAAGACTACATCTCTTTTATCCTGTCTGGGTCAGAAGCGTAAAATACGCTTGGGTCCTATCAATATTGGCCGAAGGATACAGGTTAGAATTCGAGGCCATTCCAACAAAGGATGTGTTTACTCAGTCTCGGGTAGCCAAAGGAGAAAAAGAGACAGCTATGAGGGACTGCATCTCGAAACTACTAAAAGAACAGGTAATAAAATATGTCCCAGTAAAAGAACAACGTTTTTTCTAGCTCCAAAACCTCAGAAGAAGTGGAGACTGATTCTGGACTTGAAAAAATTGAATTTGAAACTAAAGAGAAAAACATTCAAGATGGAATCCATTTCAACTATTGTACCAAACATCAGTATGGGGGATTGGATGACGTCTATCGATTTAAAAGATGCATATCACCAGATTCCAATCAATATATGGCACAGGAAATTCCTCGGATTTTGTGTATTTGGAACACACTACCAATTCAAAGGACTTCCATTTGGACTAAGCCTGGCTCCGAGAACATTTTTCAAAGGTACTCATAACATTGGTAGCTGTAATCAGAAATAAAGAAATAGAGATATACCATTACTTGGACGATTTTCTGATTATAGGTCAATCCAGACAGAAGGTAGCTCTCCACACACAGTGGGCCATAGAGATCCTCGTGAACCATGGTTGGAAACTGAACCTGGAAAAGAGTATGACAGTTCCCTCTCAGAAAATAGTAATCCTGGGGGCTACCATAGATACGATTATCGGGCGAGTAACTTTATCCACAGAAAGAATGGAGAAGATTCGGATGAAGATCAAGAATCTTCACGACAAGAAATATATTACAGCAAGGGAATTCATGAGCCTCATAGGATCTCTTACATCAACTATAGGACTGGTGAAATGGGCCCAGTGGAAGATGCGTCCCATCCAAATGCAGTTTCTGCAGGAATTCAAGAAACAAGAGGGCAACTAGGATCAAAAAATTCCCATTTATCAAAAAACTATAGACGACCTGTCATGGTGGAAGAAAAACAAGAACTTATCCTTGGGGTTTCCTCTGGAGGATCCCACATGGATAACAGTTACTACAGACGCAAGTCTCCAAGGATGGGGTGCGCATTTAGAAAACGAATGGATACAAGGTACCTGGTCACAGAGAGAGAGAAAGTTGCACTCAAACCTCAGAGAACTAAAAGCAATATTCTATGCCCTGCAGGGATTTCGACAAATTATAACAAATTCTTGGGTAAGAATCCAAACAGACAACAGAGCAGTGGCCTCATATGTAAACCGACAAGGTGGGACCAGAAGCAATGCTCTATTGAGGGAAATATTCCCATTGATGAAATTAGCTCAAAACAGCCTACAGGGCCTGAAAGCAGTATATCTTCCAGGAAAAGAAAATCTGATGGCAGACTACCTGAGCAGAAAGAAGATTCTATCAGGAGAATGGCAATTGAATCCGGAAATATTTCATCAGATATCGCTAAGGTGGGGCACACCCCAGGTCGACTTGATGGCTTCATATTGGAATGCTCAAGTCCCGAAGTATTTTTCCCTAAAGGCAGAATATCAATCAGCAGGACAAGATGCCTTTTCCCTCCCCGGGACTTCGATCTGGGGTATACGTTCCCTCCCCTGCCGATGATTCACAGGTTATTGAGAAAAATCCGGAAGGAACGAAAGGCAGTGATTGCCATAATTCCAAACTGGCCGAGAAGACCATGGTTTCCACTCGTGAACAAAATGAGCTTAGGTCCTCCATGGCCTCTTCCTCAGAGAACAGATCTGTTAATACAAGGTCCAGTGAGGCATCCCAACCCAAATCAATTGAAACTGGTGGCTTTGCTCTTGAAAAGCAGAAACTTATAGAGCAAGGATTACCAGAACCTGTTGTAAATACACTGTTAAAATCCAGAAAAAATTCCACCTCCGTGTGTTACCACAGAATATGGGAAGTATTTCGAGTATAGACAAAGGAGAAATCCAAGAATTTCCTACAGCCTTCAAATATAGATATTTTGGAATTTCTACACGAATGTCTGGAGAAGGGCCTGAGCCTAAGCACATTAAAAGTGCAGTCATCAGCCTTGTCAGCCCTGTGTAAAACCTCCTGGGCTTCAGACCCTATCATTGCGAGGTTCTTTAAGGCAGCTATACGCATAAGACCTCCATCTAGAAACTATGCTCCTCCATGGGAACTTCCATTGGTACTGGATGTTTTGTCAGATCCCCCCTTTGCTCCATTGGATGAGTTGGGTATAACTAATCTGACATACAAGAGCTTGTTCTTGGTGGCAATCACTACGGCTAAAAGAATGTCCGAAATTCAAGCCTTCTCCAGTGATCCGAATCACATTCAGATTTTCCATCATAGAATTATATTAAGATCTAGAATGGAATTCCTACCTAAGGTGGTTTCTCGTTTTCACTTGACACAAGAAGTGATTATCCCTTCTTTTTTCCAAAATCCTTTTTCTTCAGAAGAAGTTAAGCTCCATCAGTTGGATGTAAGGGAATGTGTAATAAAATACATAGAGGTCTCTAAGCTATTCAGGAAATCACAGCACTTATTTCTTATACCGTCAGGATACAGAAAGGGAGAGGCGGCCTCTACTTCTACGTTAAGACGATGGGTTTCGAACACCATAAAAATGGCATACAAACTAAAAAATATATCTCCTCCAGAAAAGATAAAGACCCATTCTACCAGAGCATTGGCTACATCCTCGGCTAACTGGGCAGAGGTTCCTCCTGACGACATATGCAGGGCAGCCACCTGGTTGTCTCCTGTAACCTTCATTAAACATTATAAGCTGGATGTGACTTCTTCCTCCTCGTCCTTCGGTAGAGGGGTTCTGTCTTCAGTGAATCTCTCATGAATAAATCTCTTGTTGCAACAAAATTGT